AAATATAATATGCAGTGTGCAGCAGCGCTGCGCGACCGCACGCGGCACGAGTTGGAGTTTTTCCAACGTGATGCTGTCAGTTTGAAAAATACATGTCGCGATAGAAATAGTGTGTTATTCCGCTTGGGTATGAACAAGAGGTGGGTATGAACAAGGACGGTCGGTGGGAAAGAGAAGGAAAGGGGACCACAGAAAGCATCAAAACTGAGAAGCCCCTCTTTTTGAGAGGTCGCCCGTGGTTCTACGCAAGAACAAAGCGTGGCGAGGAGAGGGAGTACGCGAGAGAGCACATGGTACGAGAGAGTGCAGACATGGTATGTGTGGGGAACAGAGAGGAAGAGAGGAGGAAAAAGGATAACGGTAGCGGTCAGGGAAGGGCCTGACTTTCTTGTCGCGAACTTTCGACAAGTCGCGACAGTGTCATGGCTCCTGCGCTTGGGAACCCTGCTCGAAACACACTTGCAGAAAGAACACTATGGAGATCTAATCGCGACCCTGGCGGGTAAAAAACTTTTGCTCGACTCGGTAACCCAAAAGAGTAGACGAGTAAGCCGAAATTCGAATACGATAGGTTCGTTGTTTGAAGTCCCACATGTTTCTATTTTCAGATACTGCAACGCCTACCAGATTCGATCGCAATTTCCGACGAGGAAGCAAACTCGTTTGTCTGCAATGCGATTACTGTAAGGAATACGGTATTGTCTCCGATCGGCATGCAAGCGGCTACTCGAGAAGCACTAGCTCGTCGTAAAAAGGCTGTCACGGACTTGGACATGAGCGAATTCATGAAGAGCGGTGGCGCTTGCCAATGCCTTGTGCTTCGATTATAAGCTATCAGCTAAACAATATAGTACCTACAAGATTGGAATACAGTACTCGGTTCATATTTATTTTGTTGAATTGTTCTAAACAAAGTATTGAGTGAGTCTATTTCAGTCCCATGATGGTATATTGAATGAGAAATTGTATGATTATATACAAATTTCGATAAAGAGATATCTTTTATCTGTGTCGAAATCAATCTTAAAGGAGGATGCCACGACAAGGTACGTTATGGTCCGAAGTCGAAGATGGGGAATACATTCAAATACCATCTCGGAAGGTCGGTTGGCCCCTAGGGATGTCATTGGGAGAAGAGGTATGTCATCAGCTACCTCTAGTTGTATTTCACATGCTGGCACTGGCATCTATCGCTAGTCTATGATTCTAGCTCTTCAGCAGAGAAAGCGTTAGCACTGAAGAGTACAGCACGAGATGAGAGCCAAGTCAATGCGGAAGTCAACAGGCAGAGAAAGAGAGTCCCATTCCTTGGGTTCCGGGCCATTCTCTGTTTTTTCGTCCCTGCATCCACCTTCGTTCCAATGAGCTGCCTTCTAGTCGTAAACTCCGCCTTCAGAGGCAGTGATTGCGATGTTCGTAAGGCCATAGCCAACTTGAGGATGTCATCGGTCGAAGATTGTTGGAAAGCGGTGACAACCTCGTAACGCCCTTCACCAATAAGGTGCTCAACTTGTTTCCGCCTCCCAACTTTTAGAAATACTGCCTTTGATACATAGGGTTAAAAATGCTCGGCCAGCATTTACATTGCATCGCGCCATGCGTTGACCATTGCGCCGTGCATTGCCCTTCCATTGCTTGTGAGATGCAATGATGTTCAAATACGAGTAATACAGAACGTCATGGCCGGCAGCATGGAATTCTACGTTCTCTTTATTACAACCTGTATGGCTTGATGCTCACTGAAATAAGAAGCTTGGTCAATTCGGCTAAGTTCTGCTCGTTAGAACGCGCAGGTTCAACCTCTTTAGCAAAGTTGCACCGGTATGACCATACGGAAACAGCACGGCGGAATCAGAATGAGGTCTGCCGAATTCAGTAAGTTGATGTGCTTCACTTGTGTAATTGATGGGAATCTTCGATTTCGAGGATAAGAATCGATTCCCAGGGTCAAGCATGGTCGCGAAATCTTTGACGGAGGGGTATGTTGGGAAACGGGAACTGTGGCCTAGGATACCAGGTGAAGGTACAACTTTTCGCATAACTTTTGGCGCGGTTGGCGGGGTACGCCCACCGACTATCTAATCACTCGCCGCAGGTCTATACGTGGCGAGTAGATAGCAGAGAGAGCGTAGTGTTGAAGAGGGCACAGCGATGAGAGTCGCATCAATGCGCAAATCAACGGGCAAGGAAGGGGTCCCATTTCTCGGGTTTCGGGCCGTTTCAAATGGTTTCTTCTTCATCCCTGCTCCACTGACCACCTCTACCCTTATTTCCAATGAGCTAACTTTTCATCGTAAATTCTGCCTTTGTGAATCTGGCGGCGTCTGCGAACCTTGTGGGTGGCGTTGCGGCGCTGTTCTACAGGAAGCTCCAATCAGGGTCAACCCTATGTTGGGACAAATACCAAC